TACCTAACCCTTAACTGTACCCCACAACATCATAATAAAAAATATTGATTAAATAAAAAAGATACAGAAAAAGAAACTTTAGAGCAATATTCTAAATGATATATTAGTTTTGCTTGCTATTAATCAAAATATATATACCATTAATAAATAAATAAAATGTGTTGAAACTTTAAAAAAAATTATACATTTTCTTCAGTTCTTGCAAAACAAAACATATCTTTTGCTTGCTTTTACATGTGAATGGCATCTTAGCAGGTTATCCAAATCTTTTTTTCCTTAAGCATTTATGGTTGGTGCACCACATATCTTCCTACATTTGACAGTATAGAGGAGAATTCTAAAGCCACCAAACTTCATCTTTCTCTCTGCTTTTACTTTTTTTCACTCTATTTTTTCTTGTACTATGAGGATAATGTAACGAAGTAATTATTATTCTTGATAGTGATCCATTCAAATGCAACATAACTACTGCCAGCCTTGCTACCTGCTTTTCAGTTATAGTTTTGCATTATTCTTTCTTTTGTAGTTGTTCTGGGCTCTTATTAAAAAAGGACAATATTGCTCATATATAGCTGTCTACCTTCTGATCTCTGTTTCTAGCACTTTATCCCTTATCGTTTGTGTTTCCCAGTCTTGCCTTCTATGTTCTCATAGATCACCATCAGTTTGTTTTCCTATTACCTAATCAATTTGAGGCTGTGGTGATTCTATCCTTTATTACCTCCAATACATGATTAAATTCCATATGATTCTTCATATGCTTCATCTCACTGCTATTTTATTTCTGTCTATATCCTAACCAGCTGCCTTTTCAACTCAGACTATTGTGTTCTCACCTTATACTTCATCTCTTATTTCATGGAATTCATATCTTTAGGATTCTATTGCCAGCAATAAAAAATATTATCTGAAATTTACTCTTGAAATAAACTATGCTTCTCCCCTACCTTCTGCAAGTTTTGTTCTCCTTGTATTATGTTATAAAAATTTTTATAGTCCCTGATTTTTCCACTTATTCATCCTTGAATTATAATCCTCAATCTAAAGTTCAACTTTATGTTATAAAAAAAACCTCAAACAAAAGTAAACCAAACCAAAAGTAAAACAAGGCCCTAACTTACCTCTCATTTCCTGAGGCAATATCAGCTCCAAGATGTGTCCAGGATCTCTTAGGATAAGCACTGTAAAGCTGAAATTTTCCATAAACCCCTGGGGGGGGGGAAGGAGCAACCATCAGAAGAATTAAGGCCAGATAAGTAAGATTCAATCCAGAGGTTATTGCGCAACATATGTGATATAGAATCTAGATAAGAAGGTATCCATCTCATCAGAAAAAGAATAGTTAAGTGCTGCATTTTACAGCAGGTTATATATATCACACATGATTATGACATTTATTCTCTCAAGACCTAACAGAGAAATGAATGCTATACCACATCATATTCACCTAAAAGGGTAGTAGCCCACTCTAATGACTAGTTAAATTTGAAGAGTACTGCCGGGCTCGGTGGCTCAGCCTGTAATCCCGCGCCTTTGGGAGGCTGAGGTGAGTGGATTGCCTGAGCCCGCGGGTTCGAGACCTGCCTGGGCAGCGAGACCTCATCTCTACAACAAATCAAAAAATCAGCCGGGTGTGGCAGCGCATGCCTGTAATTCCGGCTACTCGGAAGGCTGAGCCGGAAGGATCGCCAGAGCCCAACGGCGAGGCTGCGGTGGCCAGGAGCGGCCACTGCACTCCAGTCTGGGTGACCAAGTGAGACTCGAACTCAAAAAAAAAAAAAAAAATTTGAAGAGTACTCCCTTCCAACATTAAGTGACTTCAAACCACTGGAAATTCTTTTGGAAGTTAACTGCTTCTGATATTTTACATTATACACTATATTCTCCAAGAGGTAAGGTTAATTTTATTTCCTAAGTATAGAGTTTTGATGTTATTAGCTTTGTTTTTAGTGATTGGACTTAATATTTTGTCTTAATAGTATAACAAAGGAGAGATCTCTAAGTACTTTGTTTAAAAAAAGGGTTTTAGACTCACAAATTAAAGTCTTACCAGGAATATGTTTGGTGCAATCCAGTTTCATTCTTTCAGTGTATCCTCTTGTATGTTTTATTGACATTTTTTACCATATCAAGCATAATTCCTCATACTGAAGTAGTTAAGCATGTTTTGACCATGAACCCAAGCAGTAAAAAAATATTAAACGATGATCATGGTGCTCTAAGCACATATATATATATATATTTATTTATTTAGATATTTATTATTTTAGATAAATATATATGTAGATGAGTGTGTGTATATATACATATACATGTTTATTATTTTAGATAAATATATATGTAGATGAGTGTGTGTATATATACATATACATGCATTATATATAAATATATATAATTTGTGTATATATATTTGAGTAAAGTTCTAGTATTTTCTTCCTGAACTAAAATGTATTATCTGCATATCCCTGGATTGGTATACCTCATTTTTTTGCAAGCCATTAACCTGAAAACTTAAATATTTTTACAATTTTTATCAAAACATACATGCATAAAAGAAAATTTTAAAAAGTAAGGTAAAAATAATATATCTTGGGAATTTCATACAGTGTGGACCAAAAAAAAATTCAGTTAATCAGAACCTAACTAACTGTATATACCAACATTCATAATTTTTCTATACCCTTATTCAGAAATAAGTCAGAAGATGATAAAACTAAAATCAACATAAATTGATGTAAAAAGAATCCCACTTTCAGGACATGGCCTGGAACCAATTTTTCATAATAATGAATTTATAAATATACTTCATAAGATATCATCATTATCTAAAACAAATATCTATTTTTTTTTTCACTACAGGCTAAGTAAGCTAGGCAGAGAAGGATCCTGAAGTAATTTAAAGATTTCCAACCACAATGTTTACAACAAAAAGCAGTTCATGTCCTTAAATTTGAATTATACAGAAAATTCAATTGACCAGAAAAGCAGATTTCTTGGTCATTTCCAATTATCAAAGGTTTGCTGTAAAATGACACCATTTTTAAGTTGTTTCAAGGAGATTATAAATGATTTAAAAGGATTAAAATCTGTCATTTACTTATGATACCACAAAATTTAAGCATTCATTAAAGTAAATATTTAATTATTTATTTCAGTGTAGTACTAGAGAAAATTTGGGAAACTCGAATTGGACCATATAGCCAGGGTCAGAGATTAGAACAAGAATCCATGGATACTCCTAACAGAAAGTTTGATCTAAGGTAATCATGGAACAGAGTGGACACTACAGGCAAAAAAAAAATCAAATGTTCTTATTATGATTCATCTAGTTTATCAACTTGGAAAACTTTTAAAATTTTGAACCTCTTGTTATTAGAAAAATAAAATAAATAGCACATGTGAAAAACCCAAAAACTGTCAAAGTACTACATGGCATTGGTTATCTGTTATGACACTAAGTTAACATACTTCACATTATCCTAATATTATTGCTTCCATTCTATTGAGTGCTGAGTTTCAGAGAGGGAGCTACTCAATACTAATGAATATTAAACTTATATCTCATAATATTCAGAAAGCTTATATAGGATAATCTTTTCTCTTTTGCCACAAGATAAGGCATCTTACTTGAAGACATCCAACAAAACAGTACATCTAAAGGAGAATTCAGTCGGGCTCTGTGGCTCAACCTGTAATCCCATGCTTTGGGAGGCTGAGGTGAGTGGATTGCCTTAACCCGGGGGTTCGAGACCTGCCTGGGCACTTGGTGAGACCTCATCTTTACAATAAATCAAAAAATTAGCAGGGCGTGGTAGCGCGCGCCTATAGTTCCAGCTACTTGGAAGGCTGAGGCAGAAGGATCGCCGGAGGCCAGCAGGTCGAGGCTGCAGTGGCCAGGAGCGGCCACTGCACTCCAGTCTAGGCGACAGAATGAGACTCCAACTCAAAAAAAAAAAAGAAAAGAAAAGAAAAAGGAGAATCCAAGGAAATCAATATGCTGGCTGCCAATAATAACACATTGAAGTGATATAACAATATAATATTAAAAGGATAAAAATGTATAGGGAACTAAATAATTTCAACAACTCTATAAGTGAGGGAAGGAAGATAACTAAAAGGAAAAATGTGAACATTCTTAAAGAAAAGGAAATTACTGCATAGAGAGTTATCCCTTTTTATTTATCAAGCTAATAGTGCCTATAAAGAGAAAGTGAGAAAATACTCGAAATCTAATGAGTATTTTCTTTTCCCTCAAACTGAGTTATTTAGGGGTTCTTACATCATGGTTAACAAGCCAGTCCCAGTTTCTGTACTTTTATATAGATCAATTTAAAATAGGATATGGTATTGTGGCAATAGCAAAGACACTGTCAACAGTGAATGTTTCTTAGTAATCTTTTGATCTATCAGTTAAAAAATGTATCAATTATCACATAGTATTTTTAGCTGATAATACAGACTCTTAGACTAGACTTCAGTGTCTGATCTGGATATAAATCTAAGTTCTGACAATATAAAGTTGTGTGGCCTTCTGCATGTTTTTCATCATCTCTGAGTCTTAGTTTTGACATCTGTAAAATAGACACTGCTCACAAGACAGCTGGTAGGTAAAATAACAAATTACTTACAAGACTGTCTGTAATTTAGCTCATGATCTATGAATGGTACTTCTCTATAGACACAAACACACATACATGCACGCACTTCATTTTTAACAAAATATTATACTCTTACCAATTGTTCCTGGGTCAATATGCATTCCACTGAAACGGTCACAAAAGACTCCCTCTGAGGCTCTAAGGAGAATTAGAAGTTTCCGTTCTTTTTCTAAGGGATTTTCTAAAGTACCTGTTTACAAAGGAAAGTATATCATTCAGAGCAATGTGAAATTAAGAGGGGGATATTGTGATGTAATTTTAGGAATGCAACATAGATGCTATAAAGTAGACTATAACAAGACACGATTATCACATAGATAAAACTAGAAAAAAATAAGATTCAGTAAATTTCTATTAGAAAGACTGCATTGATGTTCAGCAAATATTTATTTTTCATTCATTATTAGGGTAGATTTAGCTTCTATGATCTACTAATATTTATCCCAGTCATATGACTTACTTTGGCCAATGTAATTTGAGTAGAAATGACAGTAATGCCAGTTCTCAGTTGATGGTTTTTTAAATTTGATTTAATTTTATTTCATTTTTAAAGATGTGGGGTACAATTTAGGGTTAGGTATACAAATGTTCATTATGCAGGTCCCTTTTTGTTGAGGTGTGCCCCTCCCTCCTATGACGGTTTTCCTCAACTGCCGATCACAACCTCCTTCCCCTGGCAGTTTCCCACTACTGCCAATCCCTTTCTTATAATATTATGATAATTGTTCAAGGTCCGCTTACAAGTGAGAACATATGGTACTCTGTTCTTTGTTTCTGCGAAAGATCACTGAGTACGATAGACTCTAAATCCATCCAAGTTGCTGTGAAGTCCATATCAGCTGATGCTTTAAAAGATTTGGTAAGTTATTAATTTTTTAAACCAGATCTCATACAATGATGGTCTGCCAGAAAAGGGGAATTCTGTGAATAGCCTCTGGTATGGGAATGAAGAGATATACAGAGTAAACCTGAAGAGAACACACAAGCCAAGTCCATCCAAGACTAAATCAAATATTTCTTGTAAACCACTGAGATTTGGGGATTATTTGTTACACAGCAGAATTATGGCAAAACTTGCCTGACATACTGCCTATGGCTAGATAATCCCCAAATTGCTTTACAAGAATTTTAGCATTTAAACCTCATAACAAATCTGAGAAGTAAGTATGATTCTTATCCTAATTTTAAATATTTATACATAAGGAGGCTTAGACATTAAGGAATGTGCCTAAATTTATGCAACTAGTAAGTAAGTCACAGCATCTATTTGAACTACAGTCTGTTTATGCTAAGTGTTGTCTTAAACAGATAGGTTATTTCCTAAAACTAAATTCTTTCAGCAGCCTAAAGACATATAAAAATATAAAGCTTTAATATTTGTATAGCAGATGGAAATCACCTCTGACCATATTGAATAGATGTTAGCCGTGGAATTCGGTCACTTTCAAAGTATAAACATTTTGCAGGGAATTGGTTGAATTAGTGTTAGTGAGTATGGATGTAAGGAAGATTATTTTTTTTGAAAAATATCTCTTAAAGTACAAAAAATATTAGAGTCGGTTGTTTAAGAAATAACTGGTGGGAAGGTAGTTATCAAACTATATCGGAACCAAACAGGTTCACAAAAAGTACCTGCTATCAAATGGGACTTCCCAGTTTATAAATGTCTGAAAACACAACCAAAATAACACTGCAAAATACAGTATGAAATAATTAACAAACTTAGAATTGCCTGGGTTTCATCTTGGTTAGTGGTCTCCCATGCAGCATAAAATCATTTCTCCCAGATAACACTTCATATGCCAAAAGGTTCAAAGTGAGTTTGAAGCTTGCTATGTATCTGTACCTTATAGTCCAGCCTTTATAGCCTTTACCATAGTAGGGACTGTTGAAAGCAAGATCTAGAGAGGTATGTAAACCTGCCCATAGTCTCACAGTAGGTCAAGGGGTGAGCAAGGCTGTGTGTTTCCAATAAGATGCTACGGTAAACTGGGCGCAGTGACTCATACCTATAATACCAATACTTTGGGAGGCTGAAGCAGGAGAATTGTTGGAGCTCAGGAGTTTGAGACCAGCCTGGGAAACATGCAAGACCTCATCTCTACAAATAAAACATAAAAATATTAGCCAGGTGTAGTGGCACATGTCTGTTGGCTAAGTTTAGGTTGAGAGACTGCAGTGAGCCATGATTGTGGCACTGCACTCTAGCCTGGGTGACACAGTGAGATCCCTACTCAAAAAAAAAAAAAAAAAAGATGCTAAGGTATACTGCTGCTCTGTGAAGGTGATGCCTCTCCTCCATAGAGAGACGAATGTATCCTCTTAGCCAAAACAAAGATGTGCTAGAGCAAAAAGCAGCAGGGGAGGTGGAGAATGTTAAGTAAATGTGTGTGGTGTAGCTCTTGTCTTGTGGTTATAAGTCTGTCCAGTAAGCCGTTTTCCAACTGTGAATTCATTTATTTCACGGAGGGTAGTTTAGAGTCTTGGGGGAAAAATGGCCTAGCACTAAAAAAGATACCAGAGAGAAAAAAGTAGGACAATTTTTGCCCTAGAGAAATATATGCAGAGTCCCACAAAAGGAGTTCAGCGTTCCTCTAAAATCAGAGATTAAATCAATTATGCAACCCAAAACTGCAGCACATGTGGTGCTTTCGCAGAAAATCTGGGCAAAATTAGTTAGCCTGCCGTGATCTTTTGGTATCTGAAATGACTAGAGTTTGGCTTCTTTTTCTGTAACTTAGAGAAAGAAAAAAGATGAAGTATGGGACCAAGTAGAAAGAAGGAAATATATGCTACTCTAACATCAAAATGCAGTGCTTCCTGAATTTGCAAAAACGCTTAAAGGAAAGTTTTAAGGCTGAGATTCTCATTTTATTCCTAAATCTAGCAATCAGAATGATGAGACACTCTCTCCAGCATGGATTTTGTCCTTAAATTTGATAGCCACCTTTGAGATGCTCAGGATGAACAGGTCATCCTCGGCTTAACTTTGTAAAGCTGCTCTGAACCACAGCAAGAGGCACTTTCAACCTGGGCGAATTTATGTACCCAAAACAGGAGGAAAAACAATTGTCACTGTGCTACAAAAACATTCCAGATGTTTTCACATGCATGATTTCATTTAATTCTCACAACCCTATGACGAAAATTGTTGAGGTTCCCATGAGGAAACTGAGGCAAAGAGAGGTTAAGTAACTTGTCAGGAATTACACAGATGTTAAGTGGTGACGTTGGGCCTTAGACTTAATAAGTACCATCCTGGGACATGGGGATATGCAGGAATAGAAAAGTAAAGGGAAGTTGATATTACTTAGTACGATGATGGGCACTGGAAGGGAAACAGAATACGTTCCAGATGCTAAAATCACCTTGAGAGATGGAAGAAAGTGAGTTCCGGTATATGCAAGATAACCATTATAATGATTTGGGAAATATGGTACAAATGGATTCCATGAACTTCAAAAGGTAAGAAAAAGGGAAAAGGATCTTTTATTATTTTATTAACTAAACCTCTTTGATGGACTCAAGTATAAACCTAGTTTACACTTAAGCCCGCTCTACCAACATGACCCCTCGCACCTTGTGCTAAGCCGATCCATACTGAATTATTTACCGTTCCCTCCACTCACTCTCTTCTGTGCCCATGAGATTTCCCAGTCTTTTATATCCTTTACCTTTATCTTGCCTAACTCCTAATCATCCCTCAAAACATAGTTGCATGGTAATTTATTTCTAAAATCCTTCTATGTTCTTGAATTAGATGTCCCTTTTGTGTATAAAAATGTCTGTGCCCCTTTCTACAGTAATTCTACTTCAAGGAACTTGTCCTAAAGAACTAGTATGGAATATATGGAGGATTAATGCCCAAAGTTCTTCACTGTTCTGGTCTTTATTGACAATGGCAAACATTTGGAAACACTTTGAAATAGCAAACAGTTGGAAACATTTTGGTCCATTTAGACCCCCTTTCTCTCTCTCCCGTTTTTCTGACTTGTTTGGTGTGGAGCCACACAAGTCCCAAGCATGCACATACTTTCTTGCCTCGGCTCCTTCTGCCTGGAACACTATAACTCCCTTTTTTTATGGCTGATTGACTTATTTTCTTTTTTAAAATTTTTTTATTTTAAAGATGTGGGGTACAATTCAGGGTTAGGTATTCAAATGTTCGTCATGCAGGTACCCTTGTTGATGAGGCATACCCTACCCTCTCCTGGCAGTTTCCCTCAACTGCCAATCCTACCCTCCCTAATTTACTTATTTTCAAACTTAGCTGAGTTGCCACCTCTTCTGCGATCCTTCTTTGGTCAGATGTGGGTTAAGTGACCCTCTACAGGCTCTCACAGAATACTATGTTTCATTTACCATGACACTCCTAAAACTACACTGTAAGGGCCTTTTACCTGATTGCTTCCTTCTTTTGGTGAACTGAGAAGAAACTGTATATTACAGCAGAGTTTATTTGAAAATATTTTATTCTGGGAATAGTTAACTAGATAATTTTTACCAACTCTCCTGCAGAAAACTATTAGAAATAAAGAGAAATATCCAATAGTAATACAAGACTCACTTCACCAGTAAATTACAAATTTTAAGCATGTATGCACCTCACGTTATAGCTTCAAAATATACAAAGCAAAAACTAACAAAACTACAAGGACAAATAGATGTATCTATAATAGCAGTGGTAAAGTCAATGTAACTGCTCCTAGAATAAACAAAAAAATACAGTAAGAGCATGGCAGCTTTAAACAATACAATTAGCAAACATGACATAACAGGAGTAGATGAAATCCTGGACCCACAAAGAATGCACAATCCTATAAAGCATGTACAAGACATTTATAAAAACTGATCATTGGTGACAAAAAAGCAGTTTAACAAATTTTAAAGAATCAGAAGTACATAACATTTGTTTTATGGTCATATTTCAGTTGAGATATACAATTAACAATAAAAAAGTTTGTAAAGTGAGCTATATTAAAATTAAAAACTTCCAATTGTTAAAATATACCATCAAGACAGCAAAAAAGGCAAGCTACAGAGTGGAAAAAGATACTTGCATTGCACATAACCAACAAAAGGTACATGCCATAACATATAAGTAACTTCAATAAATCAATATAAAACAGATAAATACATTATTCAAAAGGGGTAAGAAAAAAGCTACTTCACAAAATAAGTTATTCTCAA